ACCTTAGGTGAAGATCGTTTAGATTTAGGTGAGGGAATGTCGTGCTCCAATTCCATTGACTTTCTGCTTGCTCCCTTCGTCGGCTCTCGCTCCTCCTCTGCTCCATCCGCTTTTCGTTGAAGTACAGCTTTCTGCAATAATTATCGAATGCATACAAGGAGTTTATCAATTTTCTGCTAATTATTGCAATTGCGATGTTTATGAAGTTTACATTAACATTGTTTTCATTCTCATATAGTAACATCATGAAATCAAAAAAGAATCAACTTTTGCGTTGGCGCTGAAGACATATGCGAAAAGTGAGAATGTTAAATTCTTCGTTAGATTTTCTTCCTATAAAATAGTGTCTTACTTCTGAAAAATTTACTACAACTCGTGTCTATTTTATATATCTATGTTCATTGGCAACATCCAAATTGCAGTTCTAAAGTCAAGAGAAGTTGGACTGCTGGTTAAGTTCAATTACGATTCTTTTCCTTGCATTTTAACGCTAATGCAGGGTTTGCTCGATTTAACGATCTCCAGGCGTTTCTATTTAAGGTATGGTGTTCATCTGTCCCCAGTTTCTTCAAGTTAGCCCTTTCTATCCAGCCGACCTTTTTACAGATACTTTCCAGAAGTTGTCAGATGCGTACCCACTCCAGTAGATTAATAACGTGTTTAAGCGTTTTAAAATACATCCCACCTAATTTTGAGAATACCGTGAACTTACGCGGACGCCACGAGAGTTGCGTGACGATGTGCTAGAATTTGTGGAGGTATTTCGGAAAACTGTACGTCTCGAAGAAGCAGTGACAGTGGGCCGATCCGACGTTCTCGATCCCACAGTGAGAACGTCAGGCGAATGTGGACGTTCGCTGTCGCTGTTTTCCATGGACATGGATCGGGTGGAATCTCCTACAACGATAAAAGATTAAAATTTGGATTTCTTTGGATGACAAAATATTCACAAGCAGGTCAACCACAATCACATAAGCACTGACCGACCGTCTTCCCTTCGAGTTGATACCATATGGGACAAGCCGAGTCCCAGTCGTAGTCGCGGAGGCTTATCGACGCCTTGAAATGCTTTTGATGTGCATAAACTTATTACGTTAACCAGACTTACCTCTCCAATGGGTGCGTTTTGTGAAAGCAGATCTTTGTGCCAAACGCTAATTACCAAATGGTATTGCTCCAATTCTGATTTTGTTACGCGTGGGAACTAAATTGAATAGTGGGTTATTCATAAGGATGTTAGAGGCAAAGCAACTTAAAACAATAATTGAATAAAAGTAAAAAATAAAAGTTTTTGATTCGCTTATGAGGTAAAAAGTACACTCGTTGAAACATCGAGGTGGCGATAAAGTGAATGCTCTATCGAACATCTCTAACTAAGTAAAAACCTGACTTATTT